ATGCTCGACTTTCTAACTAGGGTACCTGTCTTGATGTTGTGCAGAGATTTTGATTACATAGATATAAATCCTGAATGCAGATCTAAATATTGTCTTTGTTTGTAATCAGGCAAATGCATGGTTGATCTTATGGATTCTTCAGCAAATTCTTGTTTCACTTTTCCTCAATTGTACGGAACTTAATTACAGATGAAATTGTACACCCTGACAAGCTTGTGCTTGAAATTTACACATTTACATTCTTGTTTAGGACATTACAAGTTTTTTGTTGACGACGGTGAAGATGATTTTGTCTTTGAGAATGTTTTTGGGTCTGCCTTTGGTCAAAGTAGATATAACCAAGGAGATCCGGGTCCAGGATGGTTCAGATATTCCAGGAGATCTTGGAACTGGAGATCTTCGACTGAGAGTGATAGTTCAGACCCAGATACAGACCCAGATATGACTTCAGATAGATTGGCTCTCGGTCTAAGTCCTTCCGGTCCTCTAAAACTTGAAGACATTAAGAATGCGTGAGTTCATAGTTGATTTTCCGTTGCTAGAGTGCAGCATCATATGTTGCTGACAGGAATATTGTAGTGATTTTCTTGCTTAATCCGCCTTTTCTTGTTTCCAGCTATCGAAGTTGTGCACTGAAATGGCATCCTGATCGTCACGTGGGCTCTTCGAAGGTACGAGCACTTTTCTCCACTGACTTGGATCTCCGTCTATTGTCTTTCTGGTACATTGTGAATTTTATAGGTTCAGTTTTGAAGTCTTAATTCGATACAACCTTTAGCTTTCTTCCAAACATAACATCGAAAAAGATTCTTACCATCTTCTGGTTGAGCAGGCATAAACATATAAATAAATTCTATAGAAATCTTGAATTTCATTCGAACCGTTCTTAATTTGGATAACTGTCGTTGCCGATACATACTTGTCACGGCTGAATGTGATTCTAACTTAAGCTCAACACGTTTGAGCAGGCTGTTGCAGAAGAGAAGTTCAAGCTTTGCAGCGCAGCGTACCAATCTCTATGCGATAAGCTTTTGCAGTGAATTAGGGATTCTCCGAAAGCATACCAAACCCGAAATGAAATCAACACAATTCATTATACTGCAAGGGAAAAAGAAAAACATCAAACTTCACAATTTAGAAGATATATACTAATTCTACTATGTAGTAATTTAGTAACTTTTACAGATATGAAGTTATTAAATTATTATGAAATAATAGAAAAAATTTTGATTAATGAATTTAAGGCCTTTCCTTAGTAGGTTAAGTTAGGTTTTTGAAGATTTCGTAACGATAAAATCGTTATTTTACGAATGTATTGTTAATTTGTAGTAGTTAATTTATAATATTTAATTCGATTAAATTTTTAATTTAATTTATTAATATATTAATTAAAATAATTATGATGAATTTAAAAAAGTGAAGGTGCATAGGGTTTATTTTTTCCCCGCCCACAAACTAAAATTGAAAAAGTAAAATAAAAATAAAACCTTTTATACTCCACCGGATACGCTCGCCAACTGGAATCTTTGCTTTCAAAAAGAACGCCCGCACACTCTCCACCCTCTCACTCCATTAACAATGGAAGAAGAAGATCAGCAGAGAGTCACAGATCTAGTCAAGGAACTGGTTCTGCTTTTACTCTCCCAAAACCCACAAAACCCTAACCCTAATCCTGACTCCTCTGCTTTCCACCAATATCTCCGCTACGCTTCTCGCATTCTTTCAAGCAGGTTGACGCCGTCTATCGCCCCCGACGCTGCTGCCATCGCCGAGTCCATCAAGCGCCGCCCTGCTACTCAAGGTAAGTCATCCGATGCCCTCACTTTCGCTGACCTTTACACTAAGTTCGCCTCCAAAACAGGCCCCGGCAGTGTCGATAATAAGTGGGCTGTGCTTTATTTGCTTAAAATCATTTCCGAGGACAGGAAAGCTGCCAGAAACGGCGTTGATCTTCTGTCCTATTGCCAAACTTGGCGTTGGATGACGCCGGATTTGGGAACAATTCGAGGGCTCAGCGAGGCGAACAAAGTAAAGGAAAGGGTTGGAGTAATGGGGTTTTGTTAGTAACGAAAGACCCCGAGAATCTACGCGATATTGCGTTTAGGGAATTTGCGAATTTGATTAAGGAAGAGAATGATGTGTCTGAGGAGGTTTTGGTGAGAGATGTGTTGTATGCTTGTCAAGGAATTGATGGGAAATATGTAAGATTTGATACTACTGTGGATGGATATGCTTTGTCGGATTTGTTGAAGGTGCCTAGAGCTACTAGGATTATGGTTAGGAAACTCTGTGAGCTGGGGTGGTTGTTTAGGAAGGTTAAAGGGTATATCTCAGAAAGTATGGATAGATTTCCTGCGGAAGATGTTGGAACTGTTGGGCAGGCATTTTGTGCCGCTTTGCAAGATGAGCTATCAGAGTATTATAAGCTATTGGCTGTGCTTGAAGCGCAGGCAATGAGCCCCATACCGTTGGTTTCAGTGTCAGCGAGTTCGAGCAATTATTTATCATTGAGGAGGTTATCGGTTTGGTTTGCAGAGCCAATGGTGAAAATGAGATTAATGGCTGTTTTGGTTGACAAATGTAGGGTATTGAGAGGTGGGTCAATGGCTGGAGCTATCCATTTGCATGCCCAACATGGTGATCCGCTTGTGCATGAGTTCATGAGGCGTTTACTTTGTAGGGTGTGTTCTCCATTGTTTGAAATGGTTAGGAGTTGGGTTTTGGAAGGGGAATTGGAAGATATTTTTGCAGAATTCTTTATTGTTGGTCAAACAGTGAAGGCTGAATCACTTTGGAGGGAAGGTTACCGGCTTCATTCCGGAATGCTTCCTTCTTTCATTTCACAATCCCTAGCTCATAAGATTTTAAGAACTGGGAAGTCTATAAATTTTCTTCGTGTCTGTTGTGATGATCATGGATGGGCTGATGCAGCAACAGAGGCCGTGGCTGCCTCTGGCACAACAACTAGAAGAGGAGGTCTTGTATATGGTGAAACAGATGCACTTGAATCTTTGGTTACTGAAGCTGCAAAAAGAATCGATAAGCATCTACTGGACGTAATTTATAACAGGTACAAATTTAAGGAGCATTGTCTTGCAATCAAGCGTTATTTACTGCTTGGGCAAGGAGATTTTGTTCAGTATCTAATGGATATTGTTGGGCCTAAACTTTCTGAGCCTGCCAATACTATTAGCTCATTTGAACTA